GTTGGAGGCTTAGGGTGTGGCAGTACTTGGGGCAGTGTGATGGGGGGGGGGGTGTCCAGAGGGATGAGGTGGGGGTCTTTATAGTGTGGTATTGGGAGGTGTCTGTGAAGGGAGGTGGGGGTGGTTGTTCCAGTATGATGGGAGGTGGGGAGCCATACCAGAGGGATGAGATGGGGGGTCTTTATTGTGTGGTATTGGGAGGTGTCTGTGAAGGGAGGTGGGGTGGTTGTTCCAGTTTGGTGGGAGGTGTGGAGTTTGATGGGAGGTGTGGTGGGAGGTGTGGTGTCGTTGTGATGTCGGGGGAAGTGTGGTGATATTCTGGTGTGGTGGGAGGTGGGGTGATGTTCTGGTGTGGGAGGTGGGAGTGTCATTCTAGTGTTGTTAGAGGTGAGGGTGTTATTCTGGTGTAGAAGAGGTGTGGTGTCATTCTGATGTGGTGGAGTTGTGATATTGTTGTTTGGTGGGAGGTGGGGGTGTCATTCTGATTTTGGGAAGGTGTGGATGTCATTTTGGTTTGGGGGAGGTGGGGTGATATTGCCAGATGAAGCTCACAACTTTTCCTTATGTGTCAGTCCACTATTGAACTAACGAAATTAATAAATTACTTCTTGTCTTATTAGTTTACGATCTTCTAATTCCAGAATTAAATAATAATCATTAAAAAAGTTTTAAAAAACCCACGTTTTCTGATTGAACTAAAAAGTAGAAAATAAATGCTATAGGCCCTACATCACAATAATGCAAGCGATCACTCTACTATAAGCGATGAAAAACGTGGGGCGCCGAAGTAAAAGTTATATTACTATTGATTAGATAATACTATTGACTTTTATTAGGGAGCTTGTAGAGAGTCAACAGTATTAGAAACTGTAAGAAAATCACGGCGCCCCACGTTTTTGCTCGCTTATAGTAGAGTGATCGCTTGCATTATTGTGATGTAGGGCCTATAGCATTTATTTTCTACTTTTTAGTTCAATCAGAAAACGTGGGTTTTTTAAAACTTTTTTAATGATTATTATTTTCTACTTTTTAGTCTTTGTCTGTTTGTTTGCATTAAAATCTTGCTATCGATTTTATCTTTTCACTTTTTTTGGGTAAACGAAGACAACTCGTAAAAAGACAACTCGTAAAAAGACAACTCGTAAAAAGACAACTCGTAAAAAGACAACTCGTAAAAAACACGTTGTTTGAATACGTTACTGACTAGAACACATAGATTTGAACCCGTGTCGAGTGGGATAGCTATCGTGTGCCCAACCACTCGACCATATCGTCTCCCCCAAACTGGCCTACCTCCTGTAAGTTTAAACTCGGTTCAAGCTAAATTCTCTGCCCCTAAGCCTGTGGCGACATGTGATCGTTCGCTTCACTGCGCGCGAGGTACGCGTCGCTGGTTTTTTTTCTAATGGCTAGCAGAGGAGAATTATATATATAGATTATATAGCGGTCTAAAATGCTCAATAAAATGTTTCCATTGATCAATTTAGTAATAATAACAATTGAATATTCAATGGTCATCCAAAAGAAAGCTTCCCTGAAAATTTCAGCGCGCTAGCTAACTGGGAAGTGCCAGAAATTTCGATCGCAAGATTTGATTGGAAAGACAAACAAATAAACACACAGAGAAAGCAAGTTAAAGAAAACGTGGGGAAAAAAAAAGATAAAGCATTCTGTCATCAGTCAAACCGTACACAGAACTAAGGGAATGCACTCTAACGTCTTGAGGTCAAACTCTTTCGCCTTCCCTCCCTTTGTAGCCAAGGTCAACCCGTTCGTGTTATTATCTCAAGTTGATTTAAAACTCACGCTCGATTACGATACTTTATTTGTTGTTGAGATGAAATATCGAAGGAGGTATCGATTCTTGGTTATTATAAAGTAGAACTGTCGTCTAATACCTGTAATATCCAGGCATTTAGTCTAGAAGTTCGTGGCCGTGACCTAGACTATATTTAAGACTATCAAGTTTTTATATAGACATTAGACATTGTCACTGCCACACCTAACAATTTCACCCCCCCCCCTCATCTGACATATACCTGATAAAAATAGCTATATTTCATTATTTTAAAAAAATGTTATTGATAAACAAGGGGAGTGTATGTTCCGATTTAAAACAGAGCCTAGTTACTGCCCTTTAGTTCTCTGGTTGTGAAATAGCTCGGAGAGAAAAAAAAAATTAACTTTTTTTTTTAATTTATTTTTATTTTATTTTACAGAAAATATATTTGTTATAATGTTTTGGTAGGTAGGTAGGGAAGCTAAGTAAATTTAATATAGTTGTTTTGTTAAAATTAAATTTTATTTTGTTTTGTTTTGTTTTTAACTGTATATACATGTATGCAACACTCCAATTGTACAATTTGCTATCAGAAAAAAGCTCACTTTGAGCCAAAACAAAAGCCGAATTTAATTTAATTTTCTTTCTACTCTGACACAAATTTGGCTGCTCTCTGCTTTGGCTGAGCTGGACCCCCCCCCCCCCCCCACCCCTCTCCTCCCTATTATTTCTTGTTGTCAACATTTTAGTTCCATTGACTGGGTTGGCCCGTGTTTTACTTTCCTGTTTGCTAACACAGGGTTTACGTGTCTGTTATCTTGGTTTGGTTTATTTTTATTTTGGCTTTATTTGTCGTTGCATATCTGCCTTTATATTTTATTTATAATTTTAAAAAAAATGTGTGCCCGCCATGTTCACTGAACTCTCACAGTTTTCACTCAATTAGACGCCATATTGTTTTAAATTTAATTATAATTTTTATTTTTATTTATTAAAAAAAATTTTTTTTAATTTGTTAAATAATTAAACCATTTGAACAATATTAGAAAATATTTTATTAATATATCTACTTTGAAAAATATATAAATTCATAAAAAATTAATTGATTTTAAAATATAATAAAAATCGATGTATTATCCCAATCTCCTCTTGCTTATTGATCTACATATTTTCTTTCGCTGATTTCTCCGCGCCTTGTTAGATATCTCCTTCAGTGTACATACCTGCCATATCATCTATAAATAAATATCTTCTGCTTCTCGCAACTCTCGTCTGCTGACACCAGACCACCCGGCCTCTCATCTACCGTCTGCTGACAAATGTCTGTCTACTTTCTGTTTTTCTGTCTGTATTCGCTACATTCTGTTTCGCTGTCTATCGCTGAGGACTTACGCCATTGTATACGGCTTAAGCACACACTAAAAGTTTGATACATTGACCAACAAGTTACCAAAAGCAGTTTTTTCTGCTGTACAAAATAGGGCTTGTCGACTAGGCAGTCTTCGGATTTGAACCGAAACATAAACTTCTTAAATTCTCAAAAGTAATCGATGAGATTTAGTAACTGCATGTTTACTTATTTCTTCATTGGCCAAGTGTCAATTAAATTTAGTTAAAAAAGACTAGTGTATATATTAAAGGTGTGTAGATTAGAAGTTTTGGTTTTCTTAAAATAAATATTTTCTAAACGTTATTTTCCACAACTAGGACAACAAAGTTATTGCCCCTGTGAGTTAACAACAAAGTTAAATATTGTAATGATAATAAAATAAACAAATGGAGGACAGAAATGATACATTATCTCTACTTTAAGTAAACAAGACAATGCATAGTTATTGCGGTTCGTTGGTTCTTTCCCTTACTACCTTGTTACTTCCCTTATCCATAGAAGTACATTATTTTAAAAGCTACTTTCCTTATTATTGGAAATAACACTTAAAAACAAAGCAGTGGACTTTTTTCCGTTATCTACCGTATTGATTCTTTTTATGGGATCAGAGTTTCTGCCAGGCATCTCTTGGGGGGGGCCTCTGCCCCACCGAAGAATGTCTAACACCCCCCCCCCCCCCCGAACGAGATAGAATATATATAGTAAACACACATATACGTTTACTAGTGTCCCCCCCCCCACTGTAAATGTAGACCCCCCCCCCCCCGAAAATATCAAGTGCCCACCCCAGAGGAAAAAAAATCTGGAGAAACACTGTACGGGATGGCGTGGTCGAGTAGTAGAGCTAACCCGAAAGTTTGAGGTTCAAATCCGGGTAGGGCGTCCCTGAGTCTGCCCAGCTCTGATGGGTACCTAACTTAAGTTAAAGAAAGTAAAGGCGGCTGGAGATAGTGCTGACCACACTATCCTTTCATATGCCGAGGTCACAGAAACAAATTAACTTTACTTCACTTGGGCCGCAAGGTTCGTAAAGGGAACTTAACTTTTTATTACTGAGACAAATTTTGAAATCGTATTTAAGGAAAAAGCACAGTAATAATCCGTGAGTCACTCCCCTCCACCCCTCCCCCTCTCGTCCCACTACTTAGCATGTTACCTACTGCCTGTCTTAAAAATCCGTATCGTATGTATTCTCACAAAAATTTCGTCCTTAGCACATCGGATGTCACAATTTTATTGTATTTTTTAAATTGTTTTTTTTTTATAAATTTCCATCATTGACCCTCTATACTCTATAGTTTATGGTTAGTTGGAATTTGTACTCCTTGTCTAAGCGGTAATGGCGATGTTTCGGTGTTTGGCCTTTCGCTATACAGTATTAAAGTTATAAAATATGATAGCTAGCAGCAATAATTTGATATACGTGATATCCCGAATTACGAGGTGAAATCCGCGTTGCTACTGGCTACTCTATAACAGATTTTTAATTTTTTCCTGAAAAAAAATTATAAACAGATTGGTTTAATATTTGTAGTTAGTAAACATTACGACAAATTATATCTGTTTTATAAAAATGTTTTTATTTATTTAAAAAAAAAACTCTTCTGGTTCTATGCTTGCTTTTCGTGTGATGTCCTCTAAAAGCAACCTTGACCTACATCAGCCAACAGCCAATCATCTCTCAGCCTCATCCGTTTGTCTTGTTAAATTTTGTTTCGTTTTTTTTTTTTCAATTTGTTTTCCTTACATTAATATCTCATCTTCACGTGTTCAATTTGTCTAATGCATTCTAATGAAAAACCACTGACAAAAATCATTGAATCTTTACAGCGTCCGATTTTATCCAGGGTAAGTTACCTCCCCTTCCCCAACAACAGTCAATTTGTTCCATCAAGTATTTTATTTTCATCGTTTTTGTTGATTATGTTTGGATCACCTGACCCCGATCACATTACTTAGTTTCGTGTCGTGTGTGTTGTACGTAGACAAAACGTTTTAAAATTTTTACCAGGCAAAAACAAACTGAAAGACGAAGTAGAAAAAAAATGCCCTGTGCTTGGTATTTTTTTTTATTTAAAAAAAAACTATCACTGGCAATAGTATATGAAATACGAATATTTTTTTAAATAAATTAAAATATCCTTGTTTTGAGATTCAAAAATATATTTTTAGTTTAATTAATTTTTTTCTTTACATTTTTTAATAATTTTTTCCTAGTTTAGATACTTTATTTGATTTTTTTTTAGATTTTTCTATTATAATTACTTTTTTTTTTAAATTCCGAAAGATGTAACGCGACAGATGAATGCTATTTTCTTGTAAATCTGTAGGCATGAAGGTTGTTCTAAAAATAAACTGTGTGCAGCCCTACGTAAGCTACCACTTCCACAGGTGCATGTCGGTCCACTTCCTCTTTCACGGTCAGCCTCGGAAAACACTCAACCCATTTTTACGTGGCTTATTTTGGCCAATTTTCGAGCAGGTGTCCATCTTTTATTTTAGACAGTTCAAGCGCGCGCAACCTATAAATAACTGACCAATGGGGGAAGTCGTTTCGAAAACTGCTCAGATTTCAAATATGTACAGTCCACATTTTAAATAAATTTTAACAAAATTGTACACTTTATGCGCGAAATATATTCGCGTTAAAGTGTTGAGTTTAATGTCGCCGGTTTGAAAGCTTTTTAACCTAAATACAATGCTTTAACATTTTTAATCCTTAAAAAGAACACAGCATGATCTTAAAACTTAACGGTTTTTTTTTAATATAAACTGTCTAAAATAATGAATGACATCACTGAAGTGAATAGTTTTCTGTCTAGATTTTTCAGGTGCATTCATATTTTCTGGAAATCTGTGTCTGTTTTTTTTTATTATTATTATTTTTTTATTATTTAAAGTATATATTGTGACGTCATTCAGCCGCTTCTGACAATAACGCAGCTATATACTAACCACAGTCAATGTTGTAGAATCATGATTGTGGTGACCACTCGGGGACTTCCAGCCCCTTTAATTATCAAGTGAAAACGCAAATCTAAAATAGTTCTCATTATTTATATTAATTAATGGATTTTGAAACAAAATTAATTTATTTTCTAAAATAATTTTAAATACTTTAAAAAAAATAAAAACCTCATTTTATTAATTTTTTTAACTACCACTTCTTTTTAAATTTAAAATAACCTGCCTTACGCTGATTGATATTACAGTTTAATTAAGGGCATCTCCAAAGTTGATGGTCACCCAATCGCCTTGTGTGTAGTGCTCATAAACGATGTTGTTGGTTGTAATTGTTGTTGTGTTTGTTAGTTAGACCTTGCAGCATTGTATTTTTGACCATGCTAATTACCAATGGCCTAATTACACCTGTAAGTCTTGTATGCCGCCTAAACATTTCGCATATCTGTGCAATCACAACTGACGTCTTTGGACTAGACAATAAACCATGTAGACAGCCATACAGCTAGCCATTTACAGCTAGTCATGTAGACAGCCATACAGCTAGCTATACACAGCTAGCCATGTAGCAGTCACTCAGCTAGCATGTGTGCTGCAATACAGCTAGCATTGTAGACAAACATACAGCTAGCTATACACAGCTAACCATGTAGCAAGTCATTCAGCTAGCATTGTAGACACCCATACAGCTAGCCATACAGCTAGCCATTTACAGCCATACAGCTAGCCATTTACAGCTAGTCATGTAAAACGTCATACAGCTAGCAGTGTAGACACCCATACAGCTAGCGATGTAGGCAGCCATACAGCTAGCCATATACAGCTAGCCATGTAAAAAAATCACACAGCTAGTAATGTAGGCAGCCATACAGCTAGCCCTGTAAAAAGTCACAAAGCTAACAATACAGAACGTCATACAGCTAGCAATTTAGGCAGCCATACAGCTAGCCATTTACAGCCAAACACCTAGCCATATAGACAGCCATACAGCTAGTCATACAGACAGCCATAGTTATTCAGACAGCCATACGGCTAGTTATCCACTGTTTCCTTTTAGGCTAGGTCAAAAACTTTAAATAACTACCCTCAAGTGTATAATCAAATAAATAAAAATAAATTTAAATAACTTTTAGCGTCATACCCGTGATACCAGTCCGTGACATCACAATGTATAGAACCAAAACATCGGCTATGACGTCACTAATATGTCGGCTTTACTACTTGACAATAGTCGAAGTTTGCTAATGTCATAATACTTTTTTAACAACGCGATTTCTTTTATATTTTTTTTTTTTACTTTTTAGAAGAAAATGTAGGATAGCTAGATTAGAAAAATGTAATTACTATAACACAATTAACATTAAAAAAATAACTCGCAAACAATGTAATGTGTGGAAGACTTTTAGCCAGTTTTTTTTAATTTTCAAAATGGCGACATTTTGTTTGTCTATTTTAGAATTAACGAATTAAGTGAATGATGTAACAACTGTAAACATCTTACACTACTCGCTATACACATTTTATTCCTCATGGAGGTGTGGTCATGTTTTAGTGACGGAGGCCGGAGTTTGATATAATATACGGGGCGTGGGGGCTGGGTGGGTTTGCTCTCGACAATATTTATAACAACAAGAAACAATTTTCAATAATTTTCATTGAGAGGATCTTTGGGACACTCCTCCCCCTCTTTAAATCTCCCTCTCCCCCTCTCCCCCCCCCCCCCCCAACACTAACCACCAGTCAAGGCCACTGGTCTTGATAGTTCTATTGCACTGAAGTTTTATTTTCTAGTTGTTTCTAAACGACCAACTATAAAAATTATTTTAACAGCCTCCAGAGAATTACTTTTATAGCTGTCAGTTGTATATAAGCTTAAAATTGAATTAAGTTAACTGGCAGTTGTGGTAAAATTTTATTTAAAATTTGAAATATGCATATTGTAACATTTATTTTCATAAGCTGGAAATGAAATATATTTGTTGCGCAAGGGTTCGTTAGATTGCAGGGCTTAGTGTAGTCAGAACACAATTCTATAAAACGCAGTGATGTGAACGCGACATTATTTACTGTCGTCACATAGACCTCTTCGCGCAGGTTTGTGCGCAGCTCATTGTGTTGTCACATTTAAAAATTCATATCAGTAAATACGCTGTACTGGGGGTTAATATTGTGGCAATTTTTAGTCATCAATAAAATATGAACTACAATTCTTAATGTGTTTGCATGATTAACGTATAATAAACTTAGGATGAACTACTACTAAAATGTGATCCCCATTAAAACAATCATCTTTGCAAAAATTGCAATATGGTTCACTAGTGCAAATCTAATGCACTTTCTGCATCAGACAATAATTCATAACATATGACGTAGTATCGCGTGCTTTGACGTCTTGTCCAATGAAAATAAGCTAAGCGGATCACGTGCTGACCTCGCCACACGTGTCGCCAACACTGGCTCTGGCTCGTCTGCTGGTTCAGACTCACCTCGTTGCTTCATAAACGTAAGTGTGAGTACTGTATAGCAGACGGCATGGCGTCACAAGAAAGGCGTTACAAAATGGCGACGGTCAATAAAAAGAAATTAACAATGTCTGCCGTGGCACCTACAATTTTGTAACCAACAACGTCATTTTAACAGTTGACGTGAAGTTGTCACAAACATCGAACCAACAACGTCATTTTAACAGTTGACGTGTTGTCACATACAACGCATACGTCACTTTTTTGTTAATTGTAAAATTATTCTGGGGCGTTTTTAATTTAAATAAATTTTAAAATTTGAATACACAAGAAATAGATTTAGTCGTTCCTATTTTAAAAAGATAAATCACTAATTAAAAGTGTATTAAAATAAAATAATGTGCATATTTACCTTCATAGATAAAAAAAACATAATGTAGGTCTATGTGCGACTTTGTAAACATGAAAAGAATAACCGAAGTATTTTCAACAATGTACTTTTAAATTTAGTCTGTTAGTATCTTTATTTTTTATATTTGACACTAGAAACTCGTTAGTTTTATAGTTCTTGTGCCATTACATTTCATTGGCTTCTATTTGGTCGTATCAAGAACGAGCCAATGCTTACCAATACGGCATTTAAACACACAAAAACACGTCATTACTGTCTAGTAACGTCATATGAGTCGTCGTTTGTAGTCTAAACCAGTGACGTAGGCAGGGGGGGGGGGGGTTAGGGGGGGGGTCATAACCCCCCCCCCCCCCATAGACCCCTCGGTATATAGAAAAAGTTTGAGGGGGTGCAAATCGAAAGTTTGAGGGGGGGGGTGCAAATCGAAAGTTTGTCCCCGGGTAAAAATTGGACCCCCCCCCCCCTTGAGACGATCCTGGCTACGCCACTGGTCTAAACAATGGTCTGCCGTGTGTTACGCGTCTTCAAAGACTGACACGACTTCATTCACTAATACCACGTCATTCCCATCATATCGTCATGGTGTCTGCAGTATAATTCAAGGGGTGACACTCCCCATGCCGGGGTGACACCACCTCCCCATGCCGGGGTGACACCACCTCCACTGAAAATACGAAAATAAAAGTATTTAGGGGATATATATATATATATATATATATATATATATATATATATATATATATATATATATATATAATACACCTGAATATACTATCATAAAATAATAAATTATGTGACAGTTGTGTATTTGGACAAGTCATTTAGTTCAATTTACTATACATTTAATGGGTTTTTTTTTTACATTAGCTTCATGACCGTTATAAGCAACTTGCGCCTGAGAAAGACGTTAAGGCTATAGGTTGGGGACTACTGAACTAGATACCAGACACACTGTACTACTGCAGACCTTTTAATGTTGTATTTTTTTTTAAATAGATATTGTATAGCTTTACAACGAGTTGCTTTATGTGTGTATCATTTTTTAATGTTGTTGTTGCGTGGTTGTGTTGATGAAGAGAGACGTTTTCATCAAATATAAACTTAATTAGTCTGTCACGAGGTGAATAACGACCAAGACCAATCACCCGTGTTGTTTTCATTCACCGCGGTCCGCGTCCTCATTGAATGAGTTGAAGGGCGGATAATTTTTACATTCAACTATCCTCCGTGGCTAAGCTTAATCATTTATCACTTCCGTTTAATTTATTTAATTAATCTTCAGAGATAAACATCTGAGTTGGGAGGGATACGTAGAATTAGTGCGAAACAATTCAACCAATTAAAACCGCTGACACAATTTTCGGTTCGTCAAATCACCCAATCGCTTCTCTCCACCCTGTTTACAATGCATGCTGCAATGCTTTTCTCTTTATTTTGTTGTTTCATAAACCTAACACTAGACTTTCTTCATCTCCATGCTTATTTCCAATTGAATGCATTTTTTTCTGCATATTTTTTGTTGGGCCACGGCTTTAAATGTTATGCTTATTGTACTTTCCTGTTGAATTATTAGTACTGCCATTTGTCTTATGTGAGACATTGTAAACATCTTTACAAACTAGCCGAGAAATCGTTCAACTAGTAAGTGATGGTTGGGCTATTTCTAAAGCATTTTTGGTTGTAAGTACTTGTCTGTTTACATTAATGTGGTACAAAATGTGAACTTTTCTCTAGGATGTGTAGTGTATGTATATGTATGTATGTATATATATATATATATATATATATATATATATATATATATATATATATATATATATATATATATATATATATATATATATATATAGATATATATATATATATATACATACATACATATATATATATATATATATATATATATATATATATATATATATATATATATATATATATATATATATATATATATATATATTGACATATATATATATATATATATATTATTTATATATAAATAATATATAGTATATATATATGTATTTTTGTGTAAGTAAAATGTCAAAGTCTATGTCTGTCTATGTCTGTGTCGATGTTTATCGATACGTCTGTAGCTATTTCTAAGTTTAGGTGTACTCATTTTTATTTTGATATTTTTGTTCTTAAGGTTTGTTTTTATTTTAGTTTCGAAATCACATTATATTAAAACTATGTATTAAAAATATCAATTTCGATAACAAGCGATATTATAAAACTGAAAGTGCGGAAGGGATATTTGGGTGTCGGACAGCAGAGGTGGGGTTATTTAAATATATTTTTAACGAATAAAGCCAAAGGCATTATCTTATAAGCTTACTTCCGTATATAAGGAATATCACGTCTTAAAATGCCATTCAGGATTGTCCACCTTTTCACCAGTTTCATTTCATAAGTAGCTTTTAAAAAGGTTTTTGTAACCATTGATATATTGTACAAAGGATAAGGGGAACAATGCAACTTCCTTCAGATTATGCCCCTTTCTTACGATTTAGAATTTTAAAGATTACTTGTCGAAGATATTACTTTACAAACTGAATTCACAATAACTTTCCTGATCAATGAAGTCCTTTTATAAAAAAGAAAAAAAGAAAAGTAGATTTCAGCTATTTGCATTTTTGTTTTAAAATGGTTTTTGTTATTTAGATGTAGAGCTTGCTCTTACATTTCTAATGCCCCTTTCGATGAAATTTGCTCGAATCTAAATAGCAATAACATGTTGTTTTATCATCGTATAAATTCATTACCGTTGGTATTTTCTTTCACTAATTAATATTGTCATCATAACAGTGTAGGCCTACGTGCATCTATGTGTGATTTTCATTTATTTATTTTCTACTAAATCCGTTGCAATTTTTCTTAATTTGGCCTGAATTTCATTTTTTTTTATGTTGAAAGTTTAAAATTTTAGACTAAATTTAACTTAGTACCTTTACATTTTTTTAAAAATTGGTTAATTATATTTTTGTTTTTAGTTTATCCCAACTAAGTTGTGTTTCGATTTTCAGTGTCATTTCTTTAAGATGAAGATTAACATATTATAACTATTTAATATATTGCCATAAAGAATTTTTTTTTTTAAATACAGCATAGTGATACATTTCGTGAATGACAAGGTAGTAAGTCGCGCCACCACCCAGCCCCCCGTCTAACGACCTCTTCCCACTTCTCTCCCCAGATCATCGCCGTGGTCTCCGTGTTTTTCATCGTCATCTCCATCCTCTCCTTCTGCCTGAAGACGCACCCCGAGATGCGGGTCCCCGTCCTCAGGAACGCCACCACCCAGACCGGAAACGGAAGCTACTCCTGGCGCCTGGAGAAGAAAGAAACCGAACCGCACGAGGCGTTTTTCTACATCGAGTGCGCCAGCAATGCCTGGTTCACCTTTGAGATCATCATCCGCTTCGCTGTGGCGCCGCAGAAGCTGAAATTCTTAAAAGCGCCCGTCAACATTATAGACATCGTGGCGACGCTGAGTTTTTACCTAGACTTCATGCTGACCGAGCTCAAGCAGGAGAGCGACATGCTCGAGTTTTTCTCCATCATTAGGATTATGCGTCTGTGCAAGCTGACCCGCCACTCGCCTGGCTTGAAGATCCTCATCCACACCTTCAAGGCCAGCGCCAAGGAGCTTATCCTCCTCATCTTCTTCCTCGTTCTCGGAATCGTCATCTTCGCGGCGCTGATCTACTACGCCGAGCGGATACAGTACAATCCTCAAAACGATTTCGAGAGCATACCAGTGGGTCTATGGTGGGCCATCGTCACCATGACAACCGTGGGCTACGGTGATATGGTGCCTAAGACATATGTAGGTATGTTTGTCGGCGCTCTGTGCGCGCTGGCCGGCGTCCTGTGCATCGCGTTGCCGGTTCCTGTCATCGTGTCGAACTTCGCGCTGTTCTACTCCCACACGCAGGCCAGGTCGAAGCTCCCGAAGAAGAGGCGAAGGGTTCTCCCCGTCGAGGCGCCGCGACCGAAGGGCACCAAGGCACCTGGAGTCGCTGGGGGCGGCGGTGGCGTCGGAGGCCCCCAGAATCGGAGGATGAACGCCATCAAACATAATCACCCGGGTGCGTTAGATGTCAAGATGAATAGGATAGGTAATTGCACGCTTACCTATTGGTAGCCTGTTTTTTTTTTCTTGTTTTCTTTTTGTTTTTTTTTGGTCATAGTTCTAAAGACGTGAACTTCAAATTCTAGAATCTTCTTTCAGCTTCTGACTTGGTCAGTATCTGTACACAAAGATTGCTATTAACCCCCCTATGATTGCTTGAGCCCCCAGAATCTTCTTGGATTCTTAGAAATGTTCTTAAAAATGTAGTTGTGTTGTTTTTTTATTCAACAATGTTGTATTGTCAGCTCGTTTCGCCTGTTGGGGCTACACATCGTGTAACCTTGTTTGTGTACACACCGTGTACCGTTGTCTGTGTAGCGTTGTGACGTCATACCGCATTATCTGTGACGTCTTGAAGGCCTTGATATGTCAATAAATGTCAGTGTTGATTTGAAAATTTTCCAGTAGAATGACGTCACCAGCTGCACGAGACGTCTTCGGATTTTTTACAAATTCTATTTATAGTACACATGTTTGACTATTAGAATGGTCTTTGTTTATTGTTTGTTGGCGTGTTCATGTTAGCAGATACACGGGACTCCAAATCGGAGTTTCCCGTTTCTGACAAGCTGTGTACAAAAATATTTTCTGTTTTTTGCTGTTTGTCGTATCATATTTAGCTGATGCATCATGATGGAAATAGGTGTACAGGCATTTGTCTTTTCTTCAAATACATATAGATACGTGTAGCCTGGTCTTTAGTAGTATGGTCAGTGTGGAAAGTTGCTCAGCTGTTTTATATGTTGTGTCCTTGGTGTGTAGCGAGCAACACACACGACTGGTTTGTGTATCAGTGTGTAGAATGGCGACACTCGAGCGGTGTTGACTGCTTAGCACATCATTATTGTACTAGTTGTGTGTGTGTTATTTTTTTCTCTACTGCAACGAATTTAGAAGTATGCACCTTAAAGAGGGCACGCTGCTCCCCGCACACGGCCTGTGACATTCTTGTTCTGCTTCGGTATGCGATTTGTTTGTTTTTATATTTATGCTGCGGTGAATGTGGGCCAAGTTGCCAGGAAAATGTCATGGAGTGTTGCCGAAATGATGAGAGCATTGCAGCCAGCGTTGACACGTGACGCTGGTCCTGTTTATGTTTGTTGTGACGTCGTGTATGTCTCACAAGACATCGGTCTCCAGGAGACTGATGAGACAGCTGTGACCTTGTGCTTCATCCAACGGCTGTCTGTTTACATACTTTGTGTCCATTAGTGGGGGGGGGGTGTAAACGACAATGCCTGTCTCAAACTCAGTCTAAGCTAAAAAAAATTAAAATTAAATCGTAGTTAAACTAGTTTATCGCCAAATTATTATTTTGTAGAAATCTTATAGCCAATTTTAAAAACTAATTTAATGTGATATTATTGTAAAGACAGATAGTAAAAGTATACCTAGAATCTAGTCTATATTTAATTTTTAAAAATAATCAGATGAGACAGAATTTTAAAATACTGCAAAGGACAATAAGAATCTAGTAGATCTAATCTGAGTACACTTACTTTTTATACTATTTTTTTAAAAATTGAGAAAAAGCTTCGCATACTTAGATCTAAAGAATCGTAGAAAAAATGGAATTAAATGGTTGTTTTTTGTTCACGAGTATGAGCAAGACATTTTATTAATTTTTCAGTAGTAAGGTAAAAAAAAAAAAATTCCACGCATTTCAACATTATTATCGCTTCGAATGTCGGTCACAGCTGTCAAAAATATGTTCGCATTTTTAATTCTTGTTTCATTCTTCTCTCACAATTTTTTTTTTATCTTTTGTTGTCATCGGTCGAATAGGACAGCCGAGTGAGTAGACGTCTTTCATACGTCATAATTATCCTTAGTCATTTTAAAAGGTGGCCAGAATTTATTACGAAACAAAAAAAAATCGGATTGTTTTGCAAAATAGGTGATGGGTAGGGTAGGGAGTGTTATGATAAAAGAAATATTACTAATATCTTTTAGGAAAGAGAAAAACCTTTTTAAAATTAGATTCTCTCTCCCTCGGTATCAGTAGTGTTATATGTTGACAGCAACAAAAATTCGTGTTCTTAAATCAATAACAAAATGTTGAAAAAAAAATATCATTGTTCTAGATTTACGACAGATTGCGATTTTATTATAGAAGTCTAGATCGCTGAATGACGAATATTTTCGAAAGTATGATAGCAGAAAGTGACCAGATTTATGTTGCTCTCACGCCCCTTTTAAACTGACAATCAATATTTTAAGAAATCTTCTATTTTGGAATCCAAAAGTGTTGTCATGTTTGCTGCTGCAGCTTGTCTTTCAACTTTCAACTAACTTCATATATTGTGCTCTTTCGCCGTTCCTATCGCTTTTCAGTGTTAAAACTAATATGCTGCCAGTATTTATTAAGCAATAATAATATAGACCTATTTTTGGTGTATATACATATATCTTTGTAGATCTATATCAAATTGCATTATATTTTATGACCTAAAAACCAAACTTACTAATATTGGCATTACCTTCTCTAAATCTCTATCTATTCTGATTCATTATTCATTCAAATAAAGTAGGAAAGCAAAAGCGGAAGGTCCGGATTAAAACTTAGTATCATTTTTAGTTCATGGTCGAAATAATATTTAGTTTTGAAAAATCTAGTGGACAATAGTGTTGGAGAAATACTAAAAATAGAGATTAAATTACTGCAGGATATATAGTCACTAGTCTATTAAAATTTATTAACAACTCAAGTTTTGATAGGATATGGCAGTTTTTCCGCAACTCTCCCTCCCCCACATATGAACTTCTAAAATGTCATTTCCACTTATTCATACAACTGTGGTGGATAATGTTTAATAAACAATCATACCATTTATAAAGTTATACCGTTTGCACACGCAGAAATAATTGTAACATTTTCGGGTGTTGATGTTGTTGTGTGTGTGCTACCAATCCCTTTGTGTTGAAAAACAAACCAACTAGAGGTTGAATCTTTACCTGATGTTGTTATATTTCATGTGGTGAATCACAGCCATGTCATGTGACTAGCTGTTGCTAGCGACATGAAATTGAAGAGCAGAAGTGATGTTGTTGTAGAAATAAATTCTTCCTGGCTCCGGCATTTATCTTACCTTCTTTGCTGTGTTGGTATTTAAGCCAAGCTGCCTTTATAGTTATCAATTCCACTCTGCACATCTCCTGAATAAAGTCAGTTTCTTTTTTAATTAGACCTATTTCTTTTGTTACAACATGAAACATTTCAAGTTTCTCTTTCAGCTTTGGATTCAACTAATCTAACTAGTTAAAATCTAGTTTCTTTTGAACCTATTCTTTATTTGAAGCTCCTGAAGGAAGCTCATCTCTGAGGAAATCTAAAAACAAGTTATCATACACTTTCAAAACACAATACAAGAAATCATAAAAATAAGACATTGATTTGCTAGTTAAGAAAAATAATTATAAAGTAATGTCATGAAGTTGTCTTTTATTTTGAATTTTTAATATTTATTTGATTACATTTTTCACATTCAACTATTCTCATTTGACAAAAATTATGTTCCTAAAATATTTTAAATTCTAACAGTTCCAACAGTTAAAATGAGTTTTCAGATGTTGTTTATGGCATCATCTGTAGATCGTCATATTTCTGGGTGTTTTTCTTTCCATTTCAACTTGATGTCCCTAGCCGCCCTTCACTTGCATATGCTGCCCAACCTTCTCAGCTTTTTTACATAAATATCTGATCACTATGCCCGTTGGTCGCTTTCAAAGAGAAAACAGGAAGTTACAAAGCATTAAAAGAGCTTTACTGACTCAATTAAATACTAATGTTGGATTTCATCGCATTTAAAATACATTTATCCGATTTTAAAAGCTTAGGGATTTTACCTTTTTTTTTAAATCAAGGAATAGCAATAAAATATGTATTGTTTGAAAAAAAATTTTAGAATATAGAAAATAGAGCGACCATGAGCATGCAAATGTCCTTAATTCCATCCATCAATATTTTCCTCGTTCTTTTTCTGTGTTCGTTATTATGACGTCATGTATTCTCAGCTCATGGGGGCGCCCTCCAGGAATTGATGGCCTTCCGTAGTAAGTCTCATACAAAATACTAACTCATGCCAACAGCATCGTCAGCCACTTCCTCTTGCATGCTGTATTTTCATAACAATACTCCTCAGTTTCCGCCCCTTTATTTTTTTTGCTGCGTTGCAGTGTTCTGCTTTTGTTATGCATGTTAAAAAAATACCCTGGCTTTTCGCTTTTTGTAGCAACAAGTTTTGTGGTGTGTCTGCATGAGAGATAGAATTAGCAGGCCTATAATTATAATGTATAATTTTTTTACATTTGTAACTGTATGATATGCATTAAATAGGGCCTATACAAATTACCTAAAGTAGAGTGATAGATGTTGGCAGACTTTTTGCAAAGGTTTTAAATCTTCATTAAGGAACATTTAATACAAATGAAACTTAGAATATATTTACCGTCATTTAATGAAATTTACAAAGCTCTAGTTTTAAAGAATAAAGATTATATGATTAAAAAGCAGATGATTTTTAACTAATTAGTTCCAAATTAGATTTTTTTATTAGGACCTGCTGTTTCTCATAGCGTAGTAGGCTAAACACCCACAGGTAGACTTATTTTTAAAATGCTTAATAATTCATATCCGTTGCAATTGTCTTTTTTAATATTCGAACATAAAAAAAAAGCATAAGACCTATCTCAAGAACTGTTGCTACACCCCGCTATACAAAATTTTACTTTTTACACTAATTATGTTTAATGAAGCACTCAATTTATACCATTTATTAAAATTATTAATTTTTTCCAGTGCACATTTGAAAAGTTATCCCCAAATACAAAGATCTTGTAAGCCTATTATACAGTGCTTATAAAATAAATTTCTTGACATAAGCTTTTAGGCCTATATTTTTTAGACTGACAAAATATTCTACAAGTGTCTTTATTTCAAAATTCTTGTTTATAAATTGCCTGTAAAATGTCATACTCTATTAGTACTAATAGATCTAGTTTGGGTCTAATTTTCACAGTTCTGAAGTTTATATTCCTAATTTTCATGAGAAGCAACTCGTTTTTGAATAAGTACAACTCATATCTCAAAATACAAGTTGTTGCAACTTATAATAGAATACACTGGATTATTTAAGTTTCAAACAGACATATTATTATTTCTGTAGCCCCTATTAGTAAATTAGAAATCTCCTGCTTTCAAGGTAAAATAGTGCTACAAAAAATTAATCCTGCAAATCCCTTTGAGCTTTGCATCCTACAATAAATAATTCATTAATTTCACCAAGGCCTGGTGAATTTAAGGCAAAATATATAGATACAATAGACTTTAGTATTCATTATTTTTTAATATAATACATTTTCCGAAAATTTTCTTATTAATAAAATGATACTTATATAATTAAAATATATAGGCCTATCCATCAGCCTTTTTAAAACTTTTGACATTGAATTCTTAAACCAGAGCTTAGAGATGATTTTCTTATGTATAAATAATGAATTACATGTTTCCAATTTAATGTAAGTGGTTACACTATGAAAAAGTAGTGTATATATATATAGAAGACAGCTATGCTACCCACCAAAAAAGAGAGCTTTTTTTGTTCCAAAACTCCCAAAATATTGTTAATTTGTACATTAAAAGCACTGTTAAAAGTTGCACATAGTAAAATGTTTTATTCCACCTATGGTAGAGGGACTCACACTTTTTATTTTAAACTCAGCAATTATTTCATTTGAGTACCATCCATGTGCTAATTTAAATGCGTATTTTGCTTAAAAAATTATTTTCTAAAAAAGTTATGTATACTCCACCACCCCCCTAAAGGAGCATTAGCCTTTTAAAAATGAGCTTAGTTCATTATTTTTTTAAAACATTTCTTTTGCTAATTAATACAATTTTTTTTGTTGATAGACTGTTCACCTGCTTATTAGTGATTCATAAGTTTCTAATAGTTGAATTGTTAACTCATTCTAAAATTCTAAAACAGTTCTAACTTTTAAAAAATGTGTTAATCATATAAAAAATAATTTCATTTTTTTCGCAAAGTACCTGATCAATTTTTTTTTTCATAAAGAAATTTGCAACAAATTTACTTATTGCACTAGATGAGCAATGACCAATTACTGAATTAGGTCTAGTTTTAAAATGAATTAAATTTTGTTTGTCATGTTTAAAAAAAACATATTCATGTGTTTAATATATTTTTACTTGAAAATTATGCATTTTCAAAGTTAATACTACATTCAGTTTTTTGAGCTTTTTGATTTAATAGAGTAGACGGCTTTTTATAAAAATATTTTTTTCATAATCGCTTAAATATTATTTTTTTTAATAGCATGGCTAAATATTAGTTCACTCTGTATCTATAACAGCCAGATTTGCATGTATTAAAAAAAAAACGCTGGATTAAACCAAAAGAATTTTTTTACCTTACAGGGTTTACTTAGGTAACACTGGTTTCCCCTTAAGCACAACATTAACTAATGCTGGAAATTTAACTTTACCTTACCTTATTTATTAACATTTAGTTTTAGCGAGTCTAAAACTAGAAAAATAGGATTCAGCATGCAGCTTCAACAAACGTAGCATAGTCAAGTTAACATATAACGTAATGGTGCTTTTTTTTAAAAAGTACATCATATAAAGTAAAATAATGTCTAAAACATTTTTAGGATAATAGCAAAATATCTTTAAATTATATTCAAAAATATCTCTTAGGATATTAATTTTATATTTATAAATATATTTTTTAATTATATACAGGCTATATCTTAAATTCTAGTGATTGAAAATACTTATACAAATTATTATTATAATATATATCAATTAAGTATGTGTGTGCATATATTTATCTATTGAAGGTAGGTGATGTTTTCCTTAACATTTCCAATGTTATTAATAATTTTTACAGTAGATTTTACCATGACATAAACATATTCTTTATGGTAGTGTTACGTATATTTTGGTCTTCCTATCTCTTGTGGCCTTGAGTCTTGTCACAAGTAACGTATCTGTGTATTCTTGTTCTTTATATGTTTGTTCGAAAAGAAACAACAGCAGTTTGGTTTTACCGCAGGAGAAGAAATGTGGACTGCGCGAATGGGACTTGAGTGCATGAAAGTGTTTGCTGGCAAACGGAGTGACATAATTCTTTTCGAATGAATAATGCTGTGTCTTACTAGTTTTGTAGAAACCTGCTTGAAGATATTTCTTGTCATTGGTTGTCTGCTTGTGTGTTGGCAAGCCACGATATTTCAATTGTACTTTAATGACATTGTTCTTTATTGTCTGCTTGTGTGTTTGTCCATGCGATATTGTGAATTAACCTCTCACTCGGATGGTGATGATCTCTCTCTTCTACAGGCCATTATAATCATTTTGGAGTCCTGATAGGTACTGTACTATTCCTTATTTATTCAAATTAATTTAACTAAATTTTTTTTTATTCCACGAAAATTTTGAATAACCTGATTTTTAAAATACTGTAGAGAATTATTTAAATGCTAACAATATTTTGAGCTTTCTAGTCAGTTTAACATGCAACTTTGTTTTTTAGTTAGTTTCAAAAAGCTTGACACAAGTTAGAAAAATATATTTTTAACCTTCTTAAAAGAATAATTGATCATCAATGGCTTAAAAATAAATGTATTAATATAAAGATAACACAATTAGAGATGTGTCACCAGGTTTGAACAATGATGTAACTGCATGTATTTTTCTTTAGTTCAAGAAAAATGAAATTAAGGCACAAGAGAATGATGAATTGATTTCATGCACAGTTTTTTTGCATCACAGTCTACACATTTAAAAACTGAAAAACTAATTTAATTAACATGCATGTTGAAATCTTTAACTCATTATTTAATATCAACCATTTGTTAACCTTTTGCAAAAGTTGCATTTAACTTTAACAAAGCTTGAAAAAAAATAATGAAACGTTAATTTTCAAATTATTTTTATCCTGCTTTTTATTCTTTTAAAAGTTTTAAATGAATGATACTAATGTAACTCAAACCCAAAAGAGCTCTTACAACTGTAAGATAGTATTCCTCCACCATCTGCCTGTCAGCTAGCACCACACACCAAGCTACCTTTTGCACAATATACCATTTGATCCTCTTTGATGTCAATTGCTTTGAAAATGTACTCACATTATTGCCTTTTTCAGCCCAGGGATTCTGCATGTCTCACTTCTGCTACATGACTTATCAGATGAACATACCTTGTTAATATTCGCACAATTCTAATTATCCAATTTTTTAAAGATATCACCTCTTTTTTCTAATTATGAATATCAATATCTAAATTAATTTCTGGTATGACTTGTTTCTCCCAAAAAATAATTAATTATTAAAATTATTAAGCAAAATTGATTGGGTGGTTTTTTATTGAGTGTTTTCTTTATTGAAAATACATTTATCATTCTTAAGAGAATATTTTTATTCTGAGCTCTAGAAGTTGTTATACATTTAATCTCAAAATAAAAATTTCTTTTAAAATAAAGTGTTAACACATAATTTCTTTTTAATACCAGAATTAGACGCTGAAGATTTTAAAACTTCTTTCACCCATATGTTTAATTAACTCTCACATTCTACCGGAAAGTTTTTTTTAGCAAAACAAAACCTATTAATTTTTTCTCAAATATTGTTGAATTCTACACATGTTTACATTAATTATGTTCTCAAATCTAAGGAGTTTTTAAAGTAATTAGTGTTTAATGAATGATCCTGTGACTGCTTGAATATTTAAACAAATATAAATATATGTTTTTTCAGCATCAAGCTTTAATATTTTAAAAATCTGTTTGTTGAGGCCATCAGATTAAATAGCTTGTCACAGTAGATTTTATACAGTTTGGGAATATAATACACTAATTGTTGGAAATATTTTACCTGACCTTAAGATTTTATTGAATGATTTTTTTTACTAATGCAACGAGGGTCTTCTAATCTATGATGCTAAATGTTACAATTGTATTGTTATATGATTCTGATAAGTTTGCCAGATTAAAAGCATCTGAGTTGGCAGCGATTTGTTTTGGTTAGTGAGGAGTCAACCAACTGATTTCCTTCCCAGTGGAGGCTGCAATGACCACTTATTTTTACTTAATGCCTGGTTGCATTATGCAATTTACCTTTTGAATGTAACCGGTTATTATCCTAGTTATAGCTTGCACTTAAGTTAGTATAGAATAGAGTTTTAACTAAAGAATTTCCGCATGTTGCAGCTTGTAAATGTTTACAATTTTGAGCCTGACTTTGTTTTATCACTTATAAAAGTTATTAACTTAAAAGTTTTAATTTACTAATATAAATAACACATCACTTTGCATTCTGATATTTCTAGTCCTTAAAGAAATTATTTGTCTTTGATTAATTAGTAATTTCCTTTTTCTAATGAGAAGCTATTCTGTAATATTGAGTGTAATGTTAATTTTTATAATTTAAAAAAAAAAATTAAATATTATATTGATATTTTCTTGATATTATCAAGTGGCAGCTCCGAGGTTGGATGAGATTGTGGTGGTTAAAAATAGTAACAGTTTCTTCTAATCTTCTGCTAGTAATAAACGCAGTGTGTGAGCCATGGGAATGATTTTATTGTGCTGCTATTGAAACTTCGTTTGAACATGTTTGGTCTTTTGTGTTCGCAGACTCGAAAGTTTTAGGCCAATCTTTTTTTCTCATTCAGTAATCACGAATTATATTTTAAAAACATTTAATCATTTATTAATGACTAATTATATTGTAAAACATCCTTTTATACATTCTATAGTGAGCAGCTGAAAGGTTTTTAAAAAACCTTGGAGCGAAAAAAAAAACAGGAGGCAATTATGTTCAAACGAGTTGCATTTTCAAGTACAGCTTAAGTAGATAATAATAACTCTATTGATCAAAGACTGTTTGAAATTATGTACTAAAAACTTGCATCATTATGAAAGAGATTTATTTCCTTACGTTAATAGTTACAAATTTGTGTTTATTCTAGAAAATTTGGTTGGCCTAAAGCATTTTAATTACTGTGCTCTTTGCTTTTTTTTTTCTCCCCACATCTCCCTCCCTACCTCCCCCCCTTTTTTTTTTTAACTGCTTGGCTAAACCATCTGCCAATCCCAAAAACCACATCTACCCTTGACCTTTACCCTTGACCAACACTAGGTCACAATGGAGAGGAGGCTATACCCATGCTGATGCTCAATCACACAGACAAAGCGGACATCCCAGTCCGGTCCAGGGCCACCTCCAATGCTGACAAGATCGGTAACCTTCTGGACCACTCACTCTCAGGGTCTACCCTAAAAGTGACAGACATAAGACCAACTGGTAAAAATATTATATTAGATTTAGCATGACCATTGTCTCCATCCCCCTGGTATTCGTAGGTCCGCCACCGTGGGACACACCCTCCACACACAACCTGTCTCTCTCCTCATGCTAAGCTTCCAAACCACCCAAACAATCCTTTACTTTGATTAGAAGTTAAAAACACAGCTTCATGCTTTCCCTGCTATAAAATAAAGTGCCTAATCATTCCAGACTTTTAAATAAAATAAAAAATTTCAAAAATGATATTTTATTCTATTACATCAAAGTTTTTGAAAAAAAGAATTCTGAATTTAAAAATACAGTACAAATTAATTCTAAATATTCTTATGTAATGTAATTAATATAATTATTATATTAATACACTGTTAAATTCAGTTAATGCTAAATATTCTGTATGTAATGTAATTACCATAAATCAAAATATTATATTGTTACGCTGTTAAAGTCAGATGACGCTACTTACCTAAATACTGTAGTAAACATCACAATTGTACCCAGGGAAACTGAAACAGACGACCCCTACACTGTATGCTGCACTAACCTTTGAGAATCCTTATTTTGTTAGCCAGCCCTTTTTGTTGACCCTTTTATTTTGTTGTTTGCTTTTTTTTTCTGCATTTAAAGCTAGGCATCTTCATGCATATCTTGCATTTTAATTATTTTTTAGCGTTATACAGAAAAAATGTTTCTTTTTGCTTTTAACAGTTGTAGTAACAGTATTGATGTTCTGCTATTTTCCAATATGCCCTCAAGACAAGTTAATTTGCTCAATTTTTATCCATTATTTTCCAAAAATTTATTTTATGAAGACAAAGTTATAAGAAAAAAATTGTCTCTTAAAACAGCAATATTACTTTTTAAATCAAAGTGTTTTTGCGCTTAAAATTTCTTGCTTTGGTAAATACCAATTTTATTTTAATACTTAAAAAATCTTTAAAACTCTTTTTGACCTTAATATTTTTTTTAACTTTTCACACCATAATTTATTACATTTCTATAGATTTGGTTTTTATCTGCAAATTTTAAATGTCAGCAGTTGAAAAAAAATCATTCATTTATTACTGTAGTGATGTGGCATATATATATATATATATATATATATATATATATATATATATGGAAGAAGTATTTTAGGGTAGCAACTGAGGCAACCATCCCAGGCCCCATCTCTTGTATTGGTCATGAGTTTCAAACAAAAAATTAAAAAAAAAAAAGTTAAGTTTTGGACAGCAACCCATCTAGGATAGAAAATTTCAAATTGAAACAACTGCTGCCTTGCAGATTGTTCTTGGGTGGAAAAGGGCTATGGAAACAAATCTAGAAAGAAAGCAGACTGAAGTCAGAATCAATGGTTTATATGGTGCAAAACATTGATCTGTAATACTTTTTTGTGTTGGGAGGAAGTAAAGCAGTTCACTGGGCCAAATAGTCAATGTCTTCATAATATTCTGCTTAAAAAAAAAAGCAACCGTTTACAAAATGAGAAACATGTTATGAACTAAATCTATGTGCAACTTCATTTATTTGATCCAACTTAATTGTAACTAAAATGCTATGTTTACGGCAGCATACTAAGCCTTCTGATATTCTAACTTAGGCCCTACTTACATGGATTCCGGGCCCTGCGCCACTGGTTGTATTCCTAATGTGCCTCTGTATATATATATATATATATATATATATATGCCACTAGTTTGTTTACTGATAAGCTAAATCTAAAATTAAAGACCAATGACATTTAGAACAAATGTAGGAAGAAACAAAAATTAGATATGAGCAGATTTAAATAGTTTATAAATAGAAAAAAAATAGTATTCTTACAACCTGGCAAAGTTCATGAGTTAGCAACATGCCATATATTAAAAAAATAGTTTGCTGCCTCTTTGTCGTCATGATTTGTAAATGAAAACTGCTGGGCTTTTCCGATGTAAAACTCTTAAATGTTTACGGATTTTTCTTTCTCTTTTTTTTTTTTTTTTCATTTAATTATATGCACTTTTTCTTTTCTTTGGTAAAGTTAATTTCACAATGCTTTATAATGTTTATCTGAACTATCATTCCTACCATTAGATTTTGTTTCCAAAATGTATTTGTACTGCTGAACTAAAGTAATTTAAATAATTCAAATCTACTTTCACGCTTTGTTTTTTTTTTACTAAAGTAAAAAATCTAATGGTAGTATATATTTAATGCTTTTCATGTTGTTATATGTATATATATAAATATATGTTGCTTTAGTAAGATTGCTCCTATAAAATGAACCGTATTATTTTTATTCAAATCCAGTATTCTTTGATCCTATCCAGTTTTTCACTCAGCTGTTCTGTCCTTGGACATTTGATGTATTCCTTCTATTTATAGATAACCAACCATCTTCCACTGCCCTGACTGGCCTTCTGGTTGCTCCTACAGCCCAGTTAACTATGAACAACACATCAGGGTCCACTGGCTCAGCCCCAGGACATGAAGAAGATAAAACAGATAAAGGTTATTAGTCTACAATTTTAAACAACAAAAAACTGATAAAAAACTTGAACTTGATTTCCCCCCGAAACTAATAATGTAATTATACTGGGAGCTAAAACTACTCTGTCATTCAGCTTTGTGAAGCTGTTCGGTTCAATGCAAAACTTCACAAATGCTTAAGTGATCCCCAAATGTGGCTTGTCATTTGTGTGTCCCTGTCTAACATACAGGATTATATCCCCTGTCTAGATAATTTATGGTCCTCCTAGGACCTTCATTTACAGTGTGTGTGCTAATTACTCGTCCTATAGTAAATTGTAATTTACTTCAAACGATTATTTTATTTTGTCAATATTTGTTTTTTGTTATCAGCATCCCTTTCTGAAATACATTATATGTACATATATGAATATATACATATATGCGATGTATTTTAAAAAGGGAATATATATGTATAAATATATATATATATATATATATATCTACTATTTATTTACCTGTACAAAGAATGTCTTTTGTATAGCGTTGATATTTTATTGTTGGCCTACACATTAAAAATTGGCACAGTGCTTATGTACACGTGAAATGTGGTTTTGTATTTTACGCTCCTTGCTTTAAAACCGCTTGTGTTATTATTGTCATTTAATAATCTTGTCAACTGTAAGTGTTAGTGCCAAATATATTTTTTTATTTTTTTTTTTGTTTTTTGCACTTCTTTCATTTCTGAACCTCTCCAGAACACAAGAAATATCTTGGGAGCTTTAACTTCACTCAGAATTGTCTATACTCTGATACTAAATTACTTGTGGTTGAAATGGTGTTAAAAACTAAATCTTTCATGACAAGCTGGTATTTTGTTTACGCTGTTTAAAAAAAAAAGAAAAATCATTTTTATTTTTACATGTTTGTGAATTTCATTTGTTTTTTATTTTCTTTCTTAGTTTACAAGTTTCTGTGTGATTGTTTTTGTATTACTGTAATGTGACCCTATGTGACTGTGTGTGTTTCTCTGTGAATGGTTTAGGCTGCCACCACTACATTTTATTCAGTCATCGTTTTTATGATATAGGGTCGACAATAACTAGAATTACCATCCTTTTACATGTAAATAGCAGCATCACTTAAAACAAAAGAGTGTGATGTGCATGGCCATTGTCGTTATCAAGAAATGAAATTTTAAAAGTTTCTCAAGTGCTTTGTGTTAAGTACCGGTGATATCACATTGAACATTCATCCCAAAAAAAATAAGACACATTTTTAACTTTAACATGCGCTATTTGATTTCAGGTTCACTTTTTAAATTCATTAACTTATTTGTTTCTTTCATTAATTTTGGTTTATGTTTTGCTTTTCAGGGTTTCCTACTAGCTCATCAGATGGAGCTGTGATAGAGCCAATAGTCACAACGCTTCCTCCCACAAATCTTAGCTCCACTTCCTCTGTGACAGCCAATCAAAACACGGAACAACGATCTCTAGCAGGGACGCCAACCAATAGCAGCTCACCGTCTGCACCATCCTCTAATAACCTCGTTGCTGTCAATACGTAGCCCCTCTAATATTAGAACTCAGTCTTGCATAATCTGGTCAATGTTCTTTTTTCATCTTTAAAAACAAGAGAATGTTTTTTAAATACTGTAATATCTGCCTTTTTTTGACGTTAAATATTACAAAAAAAATGTTAGCACCAAGCCATTTAAACTTTATATCACCAGTTAAATACCATAATTGTTCAGTCTTAACTCAATGTTAGTCATTTGCAGCCCCCTCCCCACCAGCACCTATACCTGCCCTTTAAATCACTAGTTAATTTTTTATAGATGGATTACTATGTCGATAAATGCTGTATTTAAGTTCTGCTATTAAAGACCATTTGTTTTTTAAAGAAAATTAATATTCGTGTTGATGTAAACATCATGGCCGTATCAGCACTATTTCTCAAACATAACTCGCAAACAAAAATTAATACTTTTCTATTATGAAATTAATAATATTATTGTTATGGACTTGTTAGGAAAAAAAAAAATTACGACATGGAGCTGTTACATGTCATCACCAACATCCTTGAATTATCTGCACAATGCAACAATTTCAACAGCTAAAATAAATACTTTTTAAAAAAAACAAAAAAAAACAGTTATATTTCTCTTAAAATCTTGTCAAGAAAAGAAGAGAAATGACAGTTACCTGTAGTCTCCATGCTGTTAAGAAGGGCAACAGGAATGCTGTTTTCCAATGTTAAACTTTGAACTATCAACTCTGAACTGTTATTCACTGCAAGTAATGATATTAGAAAAACTGTTATATTTATGAAACTTTTTTGTGTGGCAATGTTTGCTTAGTATTTTTGTAAATGGTATATAAGTGTATACTGCATTTTTGTCTCAATTTATACATCAGCCATTTCAGAAGTAGAATGTGAAATTTTTTTGAAACAGTTGCACTAGTTGAAAAGGGAAATAACTGTTTTGATATTACAAATGTGTATACTAGAATTCCATATCTTTGATGGATGTAAATTTGTTGCTTAATTTGATGGGAATTTATTCTTTATTTTTACTGATTACAATTGTAAATAATGTAAATCATTGATTACATTCACTGTAAGGCTCTATTGATATTCTTTTTGTTAGTATATTTTACCTAATCCATTTCCAGTGGAATTGGATCCATATGTAATTTGAGGAAATGGACAATTTTTTTTTTAAATTGCAAAAGCAAAATGTTCTTGATTTTAAAATATAATTTCAATATCAATTGTATTTGAATTATTTTAATATTGTTTTTGCATTATGATAATGCTTAAAGTTTTTTAAAAATCTGGCACTGTAATGTTTCAAACAACTTTTTTTCTAGATACCCCATGCCCAGGCAAAAAGCTAATATAAGTGTAATTGCCAACAAAGAAAATCTAAGTCTAAAGCAAATTTAAACTATCAAATCTTGCAGCTACAACACATTGCAGTAGTCAATTAAGAACTATTTTGGTTATCAAAAGTTTGGGCGTAAAATATATATCACTACTTCCACTTGTGTGCTTTAACCAAAGACCACATATAAAACTGCTGAATAAATAGGTAATGCCTAGCTGGCGTATCTATAATTAGGATGAAAATAGCCTGCACAGGGCATCTTTTTTTTCCTCTTATCTTTGTTTTTAAAATAAATGAACAACCAATTCTTTTTTCTTACTCTACTACTGGATATCTTTAAAGCAACTTGCTTTCATTTCTCCAGGAAGCGCATGTGATTTCATATTTATATATCATGCATACCACATTGAATCTTCTAGCCAATATGTTGCTGTTTTTAAATTTTGTCTGGCCACTTTTAAGTTACACATTGTCTTGTGTTGTTCTAATGGGGTTTTTTCTGTTACTAGCCAGTTATTTTAAAAAAAACTCAATTTACCATCATTGAATTGTTGATTAAATTCAATTTATCATCATGCCTTATCAATGTTTTTTATTCAGAAGTGTTATGATTTTCATGTGTTCAGATTATGCACTAAACTCTTATGTGTTTGTCTTTTTGCTTTTATAAATATTATATACAGGTTGTTTTCATTTTGGGGCTTGGACTATTTTTATCTATTCATCTTAATGTTAATCTGCATAAGTAGTGCAATATTTATTTATTTTAAAAAGTAATTTCTGAATGCATTTTACTTGTCAGATGTTTTTTTTTTAAGGATTGATTTACGTATTTTTGTGTCGATTCAAGGTTTGTTGTTGAATTGTGTTGAATGCAATGTGCTGTACCAACCTGCCACCCTCTCTCTGGTTTCTTTACAAAAATTATTTGTGCTGTAAAAAGATCTGTGATGAATGACTGACACTTTGAACATTATTCCTTTGTATTGTAAAACTCTGTGAAATTATTGAGTTTGTTGCCAGATTTTTTTTTTCATGTATAATTTTTAATCATGCCAAATGGCGCTTCCAAGTGGCTGTTATTTAGCAACAGGTTAATTCAAGGTCATTTTCAGCTGTGATTATGTGATGTTCATTCATTTATCCTGAATGTTTCACCTGTATTTATGTACAGGTGTGTTAGTTGTTATCAAGTTCTACTCCATATTTGGTTGCTATGTCAACAAAGGTTTGCTTGAAGACCTTGGACATAACAGTGATAGCTTCTGTACATATAATGGTCTGATCAATTGTCATAGGTTTTTAAGATAAACAATGAACCCACTTGGCAACACATTATGCTATTTTTAGATCTGTCTGGTCTCAATTTAGTCTTTCCTACAACTGGAAGCCTCCAGTTGAATTTAGCTGTTATTTGTAATTTTATATTATACAAGGTTAAGTCAAACATTGATTTAAATGCCTAACCATGCGAGCTTCATAATTTTTAATGCAATAGTTTGACACATTTTTTATATGCCGTTTAGGAAAGAATTAGAATTGTTTATAGACCAATTTATATGGAGTTTTTTAGATTTATTTGTGCAAGCGTTTATCATATGGAAAAAAAAATTTATATGATTTTTAAAATTACTAAAATAAATTTTTAAATACCATAGTATGAATCTTTTTTTTCCATAGTTTTCTTCGGTGTCAAAATTATCTATACTTTTTAAAAATTATTTTTACTGAAATAAATGTTTGTAGCTTTTGCCCTATCCAAATTTACTAGATAAATATTAAGCAAAATGCATGTTATGTTCATAAGGTTATAAGAAAAACTAATAGATGCAACTCTATAAATCAGAATACAAGATTTAAGAACTACATGTCTGTATGATCATGTTTAATTTGAATGATCTCCCTTTGTTTACAAATTAAAAACACAATCTAGTGTATAGGATCACTGTATGATGATTTTTTTTTCTTATAATTGTCCTTAGAATTTATTTGTTATCCACCATCATCATTATCATCAACAATTTCCTTTCTTTTTACTTAGATATTTAGCCTCAACAGACAGGACCACAGCTATATTAAAAGGAATTCTTTTAATCTGCTGATTAGGCATTGAGACTTTTTTACAATGTTAAAATTGTATAAGACAAATCAATTTTAATAGTTTTAATTTCAAATTAGAATATAATATTATAGTGAAGGTCATTGTAGATAAGAAAAAGGCACATAAAAATATTTTCTTTAATCTGAAAGGTATGTGAACAAAATTTAAAAAATAACAAACATGAACAAAATAATAAAGCAAGGCCCTCTCATGATAATGGCTCCTAGTAAAAAGAAAGAAAGACTTAGGTATTTAAACATATTTTAGTTCAAAAACTAGATGACACTTTTGTTAGAACGGTGATGTAAGTTCTATTTCTAAATAGTATCTTTTTGCTGCTCAACAACTCCTGATTACTATCAAAGAATTACTTTCTCATAACAAGTCTGAATTTTTCAAATACTTATTCAAAATTTTTAACATTAGAAAAAACATTTTTAAAATTCAAATATTTCAAAAAAAAAATTTCATTTTTTTAACCCATTTTAAACAGAAATTGAAAGTGTTTTAATTGGAAAATTATTTTATAGCTGCAGAAATCTAATACTTATCATGGACCAAAATATGTAAAAGAAAACAAACTGGAAATTAGATGAAAAAATGTCTGTAGTCAGCCATCTAAACTCCAGGATTTGACACAAGAATTGTACAACATTTTAAAATAATTAGCAGTTCTTCAAATTGTTTAAATACAAGCAATTTTTATCTCAGTTTTTAAGCAATCAAGTGAATAAATTGTTAATTTTATGATTATTGTTGCAACAGAAAACTGTTCCAAAATTATATTAAGTTTATGGGCCAGGTTACTCTGTTGAATTTTTTTTAAAAGGGCATTAGGCCAACACACATATAAGGTTTAATATTTACATTTTGACTTATCAAACGATTTGCTGGAGCATTCAATTGTGTTATAAGTTTTTGATAGCCCAGTTTCAAAATAAGTTTTGCGGAATACTCCAAAAGTTAAGACTAAGCTAGCAGATTTGTTAAACGTCATGATTTCTACACCCATCATATCTACTGGAGTAGCATATTTTTTAGCTTACTTACTAGAACAGTACGTGGTTTCATTGCTGGTACCTGTCATTTTATTATGATCACATTCACTCGATTAGTATATTTATTTAGTTTACTTCCTAGAACTGTACTTTATTTCATTACTGGTACCCGTCATTTTATTATGAAGTATAAAAAGTAATTGCTTGCACATTTTTTAACTTTTTAAAAATCACTACTATTATTATTATCATCATTATATTCTTATTATTGTTACGACTATTACTCTTGAGGTTTTATTTCTGTTTCAGTTTATGAATAAAATAAACATGAGTGCTAAAAGTCTCAGATTGTAGTCACTTCCTTGACAAAAAGATGTACCTAATACTTTCTCTATATATCCAATTCTTACTTTATATATCTAATTCTTACTTTTTAATATCTAATTCTTAATCTAATTCTTATTTTTAATATCTAATTCTTACTTCATAATTAAGAAACAAACACTGAAACAGCATAAAAATGACAATTTCCATGCCATGAAATAATTCTACAATGGTGTGAGTTTTGAATAAATAAAATCCACAATTTTACCATAATAGCCTAGATTATTTGTTATAAGGGATTTATATTACTTTTTATATAACTCAGAAAGTGTCAGAGGTCTTTGATGGCTGACAATAGGATAATTCAGAAAGTTACAGATATCTATAATGGTGATTCTGTTGATGAAGTTTGGAGGATGGTGATACCTATAGTAGCTACAAGCAGAGGCGTAGTGAGGGTTGCAGACCGCACTGGGTGACACCATTTAGGGGGGTGACACCAAGGCAAAAAATAGCAAAATATATAGAGAAAAATGATAATTCCACTTAATTAAGTGATTAATTCGAGTGTTAAATAGTCTTTTAAGAGGTGCAAATCGAAAGTTTGAGGGGGGGAGGGGGGTGCAAATAAAAAATTGAAAGTTTGTCCCTGGGAAGGGTCGCTACGCCTCTGGGGGGGTGACACCATTAAGTGCCGCACCGGATGACACCCGACCTCATTATGCCACTGGCTACAAGATCTTCAGAAACAGCTAAGACAAACATCTCCATGCACCCAAGATATCCCACCTGAACAAAAATTCAGCCAATTATTTTTAATACTGACCATCTTTACTATTACGTCTGCAGTGACTAAAGCTTATAAGCATATGGGTACGCGTATATATGGCTTATATTTATATTATAGACCTATGTAGGCCGATAAACAAAGACACACACATATATATGTATATATGTATATATATATATGTATATATATATATGTATATATATATATATATATATATATATATATATATATATATATATATATATATATATATATATGTATATATGTATATATGTATATATATATATATATATATATATATATATATATATATATATATATATATGTATATATATATATATATATATATATATATGTATATATATATATATGTATATATATATATATATATATATATATATATATATATATTTATATACTTTGTTTCGCGGGGGGGGGGGATGACACCACAAAGTGCAGCACTGGGTGACCAATCTAAAAAAAAATGACTGTATTGAACATAATTAATTTTTTTAAATTAAGTCATATCCTCTGCTATCATCATATTCTTCCTCTTCTTTGTTCTTAATTTTAATGTCAATAAAAAAATTTCCTCCAATTTAGTTTGTATTACATGTCAACATGTTAAGTACCATGCAGTCTGCTTCTTCTTTCTGGATTTGCTTCCATAGCCTTTGCCCATCCAAGAACAATCTCTACAAGGCAGCAGTTATTTGATTTTGGAGATTTATCATATTACATAGCCTCACCTGTTTGGGCTTCGAACTCTGAACTTTTGGAAGGTAGCAATCACGCTCTTCTGATTTTGACTATTTTTACCCCCCCCCCCCTTACACATCGTCACAAAAAGCCAGACCCCCCCCCCCCTAAAATGACATCACACCTCAGTCTACAACCCCCCCCCCCCCCCCCCCCCTCAAAATTGCAGTTCAATTTTTCTTAAGGGCAGGTTAAACCCCCCCCCCCCCCCCCCCCAAAATACATATTTAAGTCAGAAATGTTGATTTTTGAAAATCTATTGTTTCTGAAACTATATTCAATTCTGAACATTTTTGTATAATCATTTTGCAAAATTTCGTATTGCTAGTATTTTTTATAATTTTTTAATTAATGAGACTAATGACGTAATTCACCTATATTAAGCAACATTTAGCAACATAAAAAATAAAAACTAACTAAAATAGATGTTCTTATTGCTGAGTAAGAGGCTCCAGATGCAATTTATGTAACTGGGAGGTTTTAAAAATGACTTATTTGGTATAGTTTTCGCTTTTTCTCGTTTTTTTCAAATTTAGTATATTTTTCACTATTTAGCGTTTTTCTCAAAATGTTACTTTTCAACAAAATTGTACCAGTCAAATCACTCTAACTCAAAAACTACTTGAGATATTTAGCTGAAATTTTGCACACATGTATACTAAACACTGTTTGTAAAGTTGAACTAAAAGAATTTCTATATCTTTGAAACTTCTCATTTTATAAAAAAAAAGCTAAGTCTACTCCCTACTTTTTTGAAAAATTTTAGGTCTCACATTTTAAAAAATTGGCTAAAATCCATTTTTTTATATTTTCTATTTGTTTTAGTTCAACTTTTTTGTAATTGCGTATATTACACTATATTAAAGATTTGTGTTATTCTGACAAACAGAAGCTGTGTTATTTTGATTTCAATGAGAGCTAATTTTGAGCTATTTTACCCTAAAAATGACACTTTTTAGAAAATATTTTCACAAAACCATAACTTTTTAGTGATTTTTTTGCATTTTTTTCATATACTATGCTAGTTACAACTTCCTTATAACTCAAAAAAGTCCTAACACCTAAATTTCAATTTGGGGGTTTAACCTGCCCTTAAAACATCGATATTTGTCCAAAGTCTAGTATGAACTCTCTCAACATAGAATATTTTAATCAATTACTATTACAATTTATTAAAAGTTTTCTAGTACGCTAAATAACGGCTAAAATTCAATGCAAAAGTGTGACGTCCCACCATCAGCCCCCCCCTCCCCCTCATCACACACCGTCACAAAATACGGACCCCCCCCCCCTCCCCCTTTACGAGTGTGACGTCATTTATGGACGACCACTTAACCTAACGATTAGGTTACACAATCAGCCCAGACGTAATTGTAAGTCTCGTGATCCTCACGTGACCATTTTACGCCAAACTATCATGTGATCATTTCAAAATGGCAACCAACATGTTCAGATCGCTTTTTGTGTGTCTGTGCATTTTTGCTAATTTTTATTTTTCCAGTGCTACATGCAATCTCCCACCACAGTTTTGGTGTGAAAATGCAGAAATCGCACGTAAATGCTCGGTGAGTAACATATGCAAATTATATAAGACAAATAGATCTAGTTAATTTAGAATCCTTGTTTAATTTAAACTGATCTATTCGGTGAGTCGGTGAGTATCCTACGTTACACTACTACTAGTCACTAGGCTAGGTACTAGTACTACTACTTAACTACTACGACTACGTACTTTTTAGTATATTTAGTAGGCCTACTTAACTAAGTAGTACTAAGGGTAAAATCACGATATAGCGTCGGTTATTATTCCGGAACTTTACAGCAGTAAAAAACAGTAAAACCATGGCGTAGTCTGTCGAGCCGTTCCGGAAACCACCGGAAATACTGTAAACCATCATTTATTTGCCGCCATATTATTTTTAGTACATAATGTTTAAAAATGTGCAAGGATTGATTTTAGTTGCGTTTTAAATACTGTTTTGCTAATTATTTTGTATTTCTAATTATTTTAAGTGTATGTGCTAATTATTGCTGCTACTAAACATTATTCTAGTTATTCTTACTACTTTTAACTTTAGTTAATCTAGCCTAATCGTCTTATTTACTAACATAACTATTAACTAGAGGTGGTTGTCGCAAATCTTCTGCAGGTTTTTTCTGTTTCTTAAAAAAAAAAACATTAATTACTACACTCGACTTTATTAATAATATTTATATTTACTAATTGTTGCTAATTTTTCGTCAGTTAAACATTAAATTAAGTTAAAACATTAATTTAATGCACTTGACTTTATTTTTCTTTCACCGGTCAAATAAAGTATGGTTTACAGTAACGAATGTTACCAATACTCAACGAACATTACCCAATAATTTCCGACGCTATATCGTGATTTTACCGTACTAAGTACTAACGTAGTCTAGTTTTTTTAGGTACGTAAAATCGCCCGCGGCTAGTAATGTACGAAAAAGTTTCCTCATTGTCAAGGCTTTAATAGAAGTAGATACTATATTGAGATATTGTGATATATATAGATAAATGAATAATAAACCTAAAATGCTAAATCAATGGCTAAATAAATATATCATTATCAATTATATAGTTCAATATAGGCGAGAAAACTTTAAACAGCAGTGTTTGCGAGCAAGATTTGTAAAATAGAGTGGCTTCTCACGCTATAGCGGCTATAAGTTTACAAAAAAACTAAACTTAAACAAGATGGCTGCTACAGTAAATGAGCATGGTTGCATCTGTTGGAAATATCGCTAGTCTTCATTTATTACTGAAAAGTTTTAGGCCTAATTCAATTGTTTAAAAACAGGTCTACATATCTAAATGAAAAGGGAAACATTTTTGTATTGCCTATTATTGTCTGTTATGTCTAGCCTTTTTCTAGTTCAGTACTGGGTCTAGATTCTAGATGTAGTCGAAACTATTAACTAGTTCTAACTTGATTAAGTTTTAGTTATAGTTCTATGTCTAGAAAAATTTGTATCTGCTAAAATGTGAAACTGGGTTCTGAAGTTTAGTATTTTTCCAAGATTTAATATAATTTAACTTGCTGTCGTGCTTTATGATAATCATGGCTTAATCATGGATCAAAACTAGCAAGTGAAATTTTGATCACATTTACCCGACCATTTTCTTTCAATCTTAGTACGAGGGTAAAGAATTACTTAAATTTTCCTAAATTACTAAAGTAATAATTTTTACAAGCTATCTAGATCTACACAGTTAGGTTCTATTCTATTCAAAGTATTTTTAAATGAAAATAATGTTTCAATAACAAGCTTATATATTTATGCACTAAAAAGAAAAATAAATGATTTTCTTCAAAGATGCATCAATATTTAAAAAATAAAAATAGTGGTTCCCTATATAAATTATGTATTAAGTACCATGAAGCCTACTAACTACTAAAAGCCATAATAGTACCACACTTCTATTTTTAAATAGTTGTGTGTATTGTTATTGTATTTTGAAAAAGTAATACTCTACAAATCTGGCATTTTGTTTGACAATATAACACTAATTGTACCACTGCTCGCAATGATACCACATGAGCGTCTATTCAGACCTGCGAGTTGTTATTCCCCAGGTGTATGAGCAATGCAAAAAGCAAGCATGGAGGGTAGATGAAGAGGCTGCACCAGTCAATTTTGCGCTGTATTATGAGAGTTTGTGTCCAGACTGCAAGGACTACATCACCACCATGGTATTCCCATCTTTCCAGAAAATTGGAAGCATCATGAATCTTACTTTGGTGCCCTATGGAAATGCTCAGGTGGGTCATTGCATTGTAGCTAATGGCATAACTAGGGCCCTTCAGTCTGCAGTTGAGTTTACTTAAGACTTTTTTTGCTTCAGTTTCAAATTCTAATTGTAACCAAAGGGAAATAACCCAATTAATATTTATTTTTATGTGTGATTAAAATCTTTAACACAGGAAAAACAAGTCGGCCACAACTGGGTGTTTGAATGTCAACATGGTGAGAACGAGTGTCTGGGAAACATTATTGAAGTAAGTCATTCACACCAGCATTTGAGAAACACTGAATAAAGTCATCTTTTATATGTTTGCAACCACCTCACATCAGCATTATCATAATGAGATTTTTTAGTTACCACATACACTGAAAACATGATGTTTTGAGTGAAATTAAACTATTTATTTCAGACTTGCGCCATTGCTCTTGTAAGGAAAATAGAAGTTTACTTTCCCTTCATCAACTGCATGGAGGGCAGTAAACTTTCACCTATGTCCGCTGCTAAGCAGGTAAGATTGGCTTTTATTTTTTAAGATATTATTTTTACATTCTTATTGTCAAGCTACATTATTTTTAATTTATTGCATTTAAACAGTTAAAAATTAGACTATTATATAATTTTACATTGATGCTTTTTTTTATTGTTTTGATAAGATATGCCTTTTTTTAAAATGGCCTTCCATAGTGCGCCCAGCAGTTTCCTGTGCCATTGGACTCCATTTTGAATTGCAGCAGATCCACTGTGGGAAACAATTTAGAGCATCAGATGGCCCTGCAGACAGATGCCTTACAACCTCCTCATGAATATGTGCCATGGGTTACCTTGAACGGAGTAGGTTCCCTTTTTTAAAAAAAAATACTCTCCTATTTATGGAAATCACATTGTTTAATAAATGTCTGTGCTAAGAACCATCAGCAAATGCCATATTTTAAAACTGAACTTTACATTGTAATAACCATTTGTTAAATTATTAAGTTATTTGTTGACCCTGTTTTCTCTATTGTAGTAAAATAGTCTCTTGAACTTATGAGGTAGTTTGTTAAAAACAGAGTTTCTTCCCGGCATCTCTGCCCCCCCCCCCCCCCCCGAACAAAATGGAATTTATATAGTAAATATATTTTTTTAACAGTCCGCCCCCGTAATTTTTTTGTCTTCCCCCCCCCCCCCCCCCCCCCCCCGATAAGAAAGTCTGCAAGAAATACTATTTAAAATGCTGCCCTTTTCAAATGAGGGAGGTTGGGGCGCATTTTCACCATTTCACCAACGTACAAGATAGGGCACAAAATTGATAGTTCGTCCTGGGCACCTAGATAGATTGTTACGCCTTTGTATATAGTTAATGTAATATAATCAAAGTTCTAAATTAATAGGGTACTTTTTAATAATGGTGATTTCACATTTTTCTCCCCTATGGACAGCGCCCTAGGCGACCGCCTAGTTCGCCTTATAGATAGCACCCGCCTTGTAAAGAATAGTGTAAACATGTTCACAATACACTGCCGCTTCAGTCAATTGTTTAAATCTATGAATTATTTCTAATGCTACATCAGATTTAGGTAGTAATGGTGGGAACTATTTTTAAGGAGTACACTGAGATCAGATGCAAGTAGTGAAGTAGTGATGGTGTACAAAATAAAATTATTCAATTTTTATTTCATTTTCAAGGTACACACTGATGCGATACAGAAGGCAGCTGAAGCAGATCTTGTTAAACTTATCTGTGATACATACCAGGTTTGTGTAGACAATTTTCAAACTCTAAAACCAAGTTAAATGCATTTAATATAGAATAGCGTCCCGGTCATTGCACATTGGTTTCTAATATGGGGGGGGGGGGGGGGTGTGTATTGACTACTTTCATGTCAGTAAAGAAAAAAAATATTTCTATTTCTAACTGGTTTATCAAAAACTACCCTGGAGTCTACGTAATAGATTTAGTGATTGGTTTACCATAAAGTCTAAGTAATGGATTTTATAATTGGTTTATCGCAAAGTGCAAAAAGTCTATTTGAAAACTCCTAAGACAGTGAATTGAACTAGACAATTTTTTTTGCAGGGCACCAAGCCTGCAGCATGTAACGAGAAGCAACTGAGACACAGGAAGTTCTAAATTTTGTCTAACTAAACCAAGTCTTTGTTTGGTTAGCTA